CCCTCGCCTGCACCCCCCTCCTTCCTAGGCGAGTCTAGGCGGCGGCGCCTCAGGGCCAGCAGGAGGAATTGGGGAGCTGCGCTGGCCGCGGGATCCTTCCGCGGTGAGGGCGGCCCCCTGAGGACAAGCGCTATTGCGCGGAAAGTTTGTGCCTTGCGCGGAGTTGGCGGGCGTGTGAGGTATCCCACCGTGGAAACGGCCGCGCGGCCCGGCGGGGCGCCCCGGGAAGGAGGCGGAGGCCCCGCTGGCGGGGTTGAGGGACAGGAGGCGCCCCCCGCACCTCCACCCGACGGTTCTCCTCAGAGACGCCGCCCGGCGTCCCCAAGCAGCTCTCTGACAGCCCGTCTTAGAGAAACGGAGGTGGTGTGATTTTCCATTTTCCCTCTTACAGTCTGTTCGCAAAAGTGACGGCGGGGCTTCTTGTTGTAGACGGGCAGGGCCAGGTCACGGGCCGCCGTGACTCCACGTCCTGCTACAAGCGGAGCTGAAGCTGTAATTTGCAAATTTGCTTTTCTACAAAACACCTGGCAGGCCACCTGCTCCTGGCACCTACTGCACTGCTCAGCTTAACATCTGGCTGCTGTTCTTGCATCACTTCAAAGTTTAATTTCTGTCATTAGCCATAAAAAATAATCCTTCAATAAAATAAAATATACTTAAATAGATGGCTTTTTGGTATTCTGTATCGAGTAGCCCTCTGAAAACTGGTTGTGCTCCTAGGCAGAGCCATTAAACCAATTAATCCCTCTGCACCCCACTTCTCCATGTCTGACACAGGATGAGGGAGGCTTATGCTTATGTAGTAAATGGTGCACAAACCTACAGTTTTCTAACATCTTCCTCTCTCTTTTCCTCCTCCCAGAAGAGAGATCTTCGTGAGGACTGCTCTCAGTAATATAATTGCCGTATCCAGTAGTGTATCTGGTCTTTTAGAAGAATCACCCAACACGTTGTTTTCTTAAGTTTCTAGAAGCTGAAAGATTTCTGAACTTCAGTATTTCACCCACAAGTATTTTTCCCACCTTCTTACATTAAAACCAGCCACTTTCCATGAATCCAACAGGTTTTCACTACCTATAATCACAGAATCACAGAACGTTAGGGATTGGAAGGGACCTCAAAAGATCATCCAGTCCAATCCCCCATAATAATGCTGAGGGATTTGTTCAGTTGTCTTTGTACTACCAGTACTCTTTGTACTCATCTTTAAAAATTTGAGGTTTCTGGTAGAGAATTAGCATTATACAGAGGCCACCTTGAAGCAATTCCATAGCTCCAGGCTACATTTAGATAAGTTATGACTGCAGTCACACAGGTGTTTAAAACACTGACTTAAACAGGATGAGAAGATGAAACAGCTGACTTGAAAAGGTGTGTCACTGCAATTTTGTTACTTTAAAATTAACTTGGTTGTAAAATGCTGAATTTTAATACATCATGGTGATTGCACAGCAAACATAGGCAAAACCCCCAACTACTGGCAAGTTCTCAAACATAAATACCCAATGTATCATTGGGCATTCGTTTATTCAAGAAGAGCAAATAACATAATAGGATTGCTGATCCTGGTGGGAAACTCTTTCAAACTTCCATAAACAGACATTTGCTACAACAGAGATTGAAGCTTTATGCTAATCTAATAGTAACATAGAATTTTAAAGTGATTTCAGCAGCAAATTCAATATTAAAGAGCAAATATCTCCCTGTCTAGTACATTCTTTAAGAGCAAACAAAACTGCTGAATCAGGGTAAGAACTCAAGTCTCCCAACATAGAGGACTGCATCTATCTGCTGCTGCCTAATTTGATTCTGTTCATTGGAGATCTTTCATTTACTTTATATGAATGTATGTTAGCCCAAAATGGTAAACTACTGTTAGTGGTTCATTGAGGGACTGGGATACGTTCACATTTATGGACTAAATCTGGACCTTTGGAAAAAGAAGAAAAAAGGTGCATATTCATGGAGAAAAGAAAACACACTATTCTAAGGAATTGTATCAAAACCAAACCCATCCATGAAATGGATGTCTGTAAGATCTAAATTATTTCTTAAAGAACTTTCTGAGCACCTACAATAAGTTAAAAGGTGTTTGGGGCATGGAAGAAACCCCAGCCTGAAATAGTGAAGGACTTTTGAAAGAGGGACCTCTGCTATTTTGCAAAGGTACCTGTAAAGATACATACATACATACAGGTTACTTACCGATTTGTTAACAGGAATTTTTATCCCGTTCACTCTGTAAATGTGTTTAACTTCTTCAGCTGTTTCTTCTCTCAGAAATACGAAGTATTGCTTGTACACACTATTTAAATGACAGCGTTTCATCTATTATTGACAGACACTGCCCTGACAAAAAATGTTGCAGATGGAGAGACAGAGACAAGTATTTAGATCTGAGGCGGAAAAGAAAGCACCACTTTAAATCTGTTCCATGGTAAGTCTTGTAGCAAAGTAAAAATACTTTGTCTTTGGATGTTACTTGTTGCAATCTCTGCTTTTCTGTTGTAGATCTGGAGACAGAGAATGTAAGCATTTATCCACATTTGAAAGAGCTCACGCATAAAATATGAAGGCCACAAGTGAAACCAGCATATCAAAAAAACCAGCTTGGCAGCACACTAGGAGGGACAGCAGTTACCTAACACAGCCTACACAGCCTTCTCCTCCAGAGATAACTGATTTGTATGAAGACAGATGTTCTGGCATTACTACCTGGAAATGTAAACAACTTGTAAACTTCCACATCCAGTTCTCTTGATTCAAAGGAAATTTTCAGTTTCTGTTGGTGTTATTATCCACAATTTATCTCAGATGATTTGGTTCCAAAACCAAAGGCGTATATTGTGCAAATTTATTTTCAACTCACCCTCGCCTTTTAGTGACTTAATTTCTTCTGAAAGAATGAGACTACTCCCAAATTCAGAAGGTGAACTAAGACAAAAAGATTCTTACAAAGGAATGTTCTCAGCATTTCCTTTTCCAAAGACATTCTTTCTAACGTTAGATTTGTGAGCGTAGTCACATGTCAAAGCAGTAACACAGAAGAGAAAAAAAATAGTGTCTCCTTACCATTACAAATGGCAATAAAAATATCACTCAGCATAATACAGACCTTTGTATTCCAGAGATCTCAAAGTATCTTAGAAATAAGATAGCCAGCATCGTAGGAAACTGGCAACAGGACACAAAGAAAGGATGTCACCTGCGAAGGTTAGCTGCAGAATTGAAAAAATAATAAAGTTCAGAGTAGCACAGGCTCTAGCCCAAAGCAGTACTGGCCTATCAGAATATCGAATCAACTCCAAATAATAGGTTAAACCCCATATGAACCTCATCAGTAAAATCTTGGGATTTCCAAATTGGAAATATAGTCATATCAGAAATATGAATGTTAACTTTGTCTAGTGAGAGGATGACATCTACTTCTGACACTTCTGTCCACAATCAGTTGCTAACCAACAACCTGAACTTCTATGATATAAAACTCTTTTTTATATAAAACCACCAGTCATTTAAAGAGGAAATATGTTGCAAATTACCATTTACCTTTCAAGATATGCACAGGAGGAGGGTAAAACTATAATTCTGAAATCTAATACATTTATTTTTTTAAACTCACCTGGCTTTGATTTATATTTTATTTCCAAGTGGTTTTCGTTTTATTTTTACAAGAGCAACCTAATGTGAGCTGAATACCTATTTACACAGTAGGTCCGTGAACAACTAACTCTTCTTAACACTAGTTAGGAGCATCTATTTCCTTCTTTGCATTTCTTTAATACTGTCTCTGAAATGACCTATAATAAAGAGATGGGTCAATCGAAATAAATTCAGAGGAAACCAGGTAATAAATTCTGAACAAACTAGAAGCAACCATGACCTATAGGAACAAAATACCAGTAAAGTATTTGCAGTAAAATTAATTCAGGGAACAGGGTTAGGGTGTCCTTTTCTGACTGCAACAGCAGTGACCATGAAACATTAACTAGACTGTCAGTTAACTGTTTTCCACTTTGTTGCAGGATGCAGGCTCTTATAGCACAAGGTGAAAACCAAAATATTACTATATCTATGACCTATTAAGCCATAGTGGCTGATTTATACAGTAAGTCTATCGTTGAGTAAAGCTATTTTCCTAACAAAGATCACCCTTTAAGTTAGAGTGAAGGAAAAGCCCACATCTCCCAGTCCAGTCTTACTAAAGTTAAAATGCTTTTTCACAATGCTCCTAACTTTTCTCCTCCTCCAGAACTGTGAGCTTTTAGAGTACAGAAAAGCAAATCTAATTCACTAGTACCTTAACTGAAATACTACCTCCTAAGCTGCTGAGATCCTGAAAAGCAAATATCTGTATTTTGAGTAACTCTTGTCTACCCCATTGTACTTAGTCATTGTGTAAAGGTACATAATGATCCTGATTAAACTTGTCTTCTGGGAATTCATCATAAATTCTTCCTGCTCTGCACTTGCCTTTAATTTGTGTCTTTCTGATAACATTTGAAGTCAGGTATTGACATCCCTGACGGAGCAAACATCCTGTTTTGCACACTTAGGAAATTCACAAAATCCTTTTTCTTGGAAGCTGTTTAAACACAGGCAGTCAACCACAGCCACTGCTGTATTGGTGTTTATTCTTTCCTTTTCTTCACTTTCTTTTAGTTAATTTACTTTCTAAATAGACGCATCCATTCCAGCTCAAGGTCAAGGCGCAAAGGTATCTTTTACTTTCTACTGGGTCTGATAGGTGGAAACAACTGTGACCTTTCTGAAGAAAATAGTATTTAAAAAACCCAACAAACCTGAATAAATGATTCAGTCCACTTACAGGCAAGGAAGAACCAAATAGGCAGCAGCAAGTATGCTGGTGCTGTATCAAGTGATATGGTTTGTCTTCCGCTGGATATTAAAATATCTTTGCTCCCTTCTCCTTTTCAGTGAACTGAAAGAGCCTCCACAGAAGTAGCAGATCTGTGGCCTAGACAGACATAACCCCAGAAACACAGAGCCCAGAAGAATGTGTGCTGCCAAGCTGGTGTCAGAGCTTGTGTTGACAGCTGTGAAGCTTACAGGAATTAACTCCACTAGAAGCATAGGCAAGCTTCTCTTCTGCAGTGAGCAGGCAGCAGTCTTCATCCCATAGGTGGACACTCCCTGAGGCATCACTGGAACAATTCTAGACATCGAAAAGCTTATAAAAATTATTTACACCTCAGTATGCCTCAAGAGCTGTTTTCTAAAGACATGGCAGAGTTAACTGGGTAAATAAGTTATGCTGATCAAGGAGTTTAAGGAAAAAAAGGACAGTTCATAAACAACAAAAAACCCTATAATCTAGAGGTAAGCTAGCAACAGAAAGTATTTCCAAA